AGCGCGCCCGGCGCCCACCGGCTGCCCGCCCGCCTGCCTCCCCGGCCAGCGCAGTGTGGCGCGGGGGCGCTGCTGGACCGGTGCGGGGGCACCTGCGCCTTCGGTCTCGGCTGTGCCGCTGGGGAGGAAGCTGGATGATCTGATGTTTATTTGTTTTTATTATTACTATTTTCCCCCCTAATCTTTGCTCGTTAGACCTCCCTAGTCCTGCGCACGGAAGAGGGGGCACTGCTGCGATCCAACACTGGATACAGAGTACAGAGGGAGCAGAGTTAGATTTGTAACTTAGGGAGAGTGAGGAGGTCAAATGCCCGCTTAGGGAGCAGGACACCCCCCAGTCATGCTCAAGCTCCCACAGGCCAGAGAAATGAACCAACAGCACATTTCACCCTTTGCACAGAAATTATCCCAGCACCTGCCAAACTGCTGAGTGGCAGATGCAAGCTTTTGCCACTTTGCTACTGTCTGACCTTGGGCAAGTTAGCCTAGCGACTTAGCCTAGAGACCCCGGTGCCCACCACCCTCATCCTGGAGAGCAGAGGTCAGAGCTAAACCTCTGGGCAGTATGAGTCACTCTTGTGTACCCCCGGATTGCAAAGCACTGCAAAACAGAGTGAGGCAGGCACAGGCAGACCTGACTGGGGAATGGGGGACCCCACATGGGCCCGGGCGGAGGAGGGGGCTCCGTGTGGCCTGCAAAGCTGCTCAGGACCGCAGAAGCCTACCTCACTGGCTCTTCTGGGCGTAGGGTGCATCTGAGAGGGGAAAAAGGGAAAGGACTCTCCCTCATGAGCCAGATGAGAAACACTGGCAGGTGTTGGGTGTCCCCCTGTAGGGGGGAACACTGGGTTTGGGGCGGCTGCACCCCTGGTCTCGCCAAAGGACGGGGTGCCCAGTTTCCTCTGCCTGCTGCTGCTGCCCTGCTCCTTTTCATGGTCAGAGGCACTCACTACTTCAGAGCTGTTCGGGACAAGTCACCTACCCTCTGGAATGCAGGGACATTGGTCACCCCAAGGACCCCCAAGGTCAAGGCTGGGTTCCTGGAATTATAGTGAAACAGGAGATCAGACAGACCAGAGGCCAGGGCTGAAGGGAGAAGGTACAGTGGGTTTGCCTCTGGGACTCAGGTGTGGACCCACTGGTGAGACCTTTCCCTTGCTGGGAAAGGCTGCTCCCAGTTGTTCCCAAGAAGGCCCGAGTCGGTTACCTGGCAGGGCGCAGCCAATGGCCCATCCTGGGTTCTAGGTGACAAAAGCCCTAAAGCGGTTATGCCCAGCTTGGGTTCCTGCAAATGTGCCCTTGCTCCTTCCTCTGTGCTGGTGGAACCCCAGAACCTTCTCCCTGCTTTTGTTCTTCTACTTACAGTAGACAGTTCTGGAGGCTGGGCCTGTGTCTCAGGCTGTGTCCCAGGTGCCCCACCCACATCGGTGCCCTGCCACATAGTGGGGATTCACTGATGCAGATTTCTTCCTTGCCCACAAGGAGCTTAAATATTGGTAGAGTCAGAAAAATAAGAAGATGAATCATTGATTCTGAAATAGGTGAATCGGTAAGGCAATTACAAATTTTAACAAAGGTCTGGGGATGCGGCCCATGCCTGGAGTCCCAGCACTCTGGGAGACTGAGGCAGGGGGCTCAAAAGTTGCTGCCCCGCCTGGGAACTTAATGAAACAGTGCTCCAAACTTTTGGGCCCAGGAGATAGCTCAAGGGTCTAAGTGCCTACCTGGCAAGCACAAGGACCTGGGTTCAATCCCCAGTACCACATTTGGTGCTGTACCAGCGCTGGGGAGGCTGACAGGAGGGTTCGAACTGCGTAGTGAGACCCTGTGCCAAATACATAAATTAAAAGATTAAAAAAATATGTACTGGGGCTAGGGAGATAGCTCAGTAGAATAAGCGCTTGCCTGGCAAGTGCCAGGGCCTGAGTTCAATCCCTGGTTCTGCAAGAAAAAAAAATGTACTAAAAAGTTTTCAAAATTTTAAAAATATAAAAAGGAGTAGGGATATATCCACTCAGGGGAAAGGCCCTGAATTGAATACACAGCACCAAAAATATTGTGATAAACGGTGAAAAAGGTGAACAAGCTAGGGTGTGGAGAGCAGGGTCTGTCTGAGTCCTTCAAGAAGGGCTCCTGATGAGTGGGCATTAAAGGAAATTCTAGGGCAGTGGTGACAACATGTGGCGCTGTGCTGTAGTTGGTTGTTATCACTGACAGTTCTACAGGGCTTGCTGTCCATCCTAGGGGGTAAGGGTGCTTGCTGAGTGAATAAAGGAATGATATCACACAATTTGGGAATAGTTGGTTCCCTTTTTGAAAAAGCTGGACTGGACGTTGGTGTGAATTCTTCCCCAAACGTCCACTTGTTATTTATTTACTTGAGACAGGGTCTCTTTGTGGTTCAGCTGGCCCCAAGCTCAACCACCGGACTGAGAAGTCCTCCTGCCTGGGCCTCCTGAGTGCTAGGATTACAGGTGTGCCCCACCTCGCCCAGCTAAGAGCCGGTGTTATCAAGGCTCATCCTAGTGGGAAATGAAGAAGGGAGGAATGGTTGTTGGGGAGGTGAGACCGCACTCAGGAGAGCTGGGGTGCTGGCCTTCCCAAGCTTGGAAGAGGGGAGCCCCTGCCTTTGTTCCTGAGTAAGAGACGAGTTTCTGCCGTGGAAACTCCAAAGGAGCCTCTCCCACTCCCATGACTTGCTCTGGAGCAACTTTTGTTTTTCCTGTCCCATTCTTGCCTGAAGAGTAGGAGGTGGCATTAGACTGAATTAAAAAAAAAAAAAAAAAAAAAACCCTAGATGACTCAAATAGAATTCTGGCGGGCAGGAAAACTGATCAGACATTGCGACACCCCGGATCTGGTATCATCACCCCTACCCCACGCCCTGGCTCCAGACCTTAGGCATCAGGGCCATTGAGGCCCCGTGGGAGCCCCCACGCGGAGGTTCGTACAGTGGGGTGACTTGCTCCCACGTGGCACAACCAGTTCCCACAGAGGCCACGAGCAGATCTGGGAGGAAACAAGGCATTGTCTGTTTTCTCCATAACGATGTTCACTTCTGTCTCCAAGACAAAGCTTTTAGTTTTTGTTTTTTTTGCAGTGGGGCAAGTGACCCTCGAAGTGTGCTAGGCGCACACTTCGCCACCAAGTTACATCCTTGGGCCCAAATAACATTTGTAAAAAATTGTACTGAGCTGGATGTGGCAGTGTACAACTGTAACCCAGCACTGTGGAAGGCTGAGGAAGAAGGAGCACAAGTTACTGATTTTGTGAGATCTGCCTCTTAGGAAGGGCTAAGGACATAGCTCTGTGTGAAGGTCCTGGGTTCATTCTTTAGTACTGGGGGAGATAGATAGATAGTTAAGTTACTGGATACCTGTTATGTATTATCCATCAGAATAAGAGCTCCAGGGGCCAGAAAGATGGCTCAGTAGAATAAGCGCTTCCCTAGTAAGTGCAAGGGCCTGAGTTCAATCCCTGGTTCCATTAAAAAAAAAAAAAAAAAAAAAAAAGAAAGAGAGAGGGGGGGAGAGGGGATGGGAGGGAGAGAAAAAAAAAAAAAAAAAAAAAAAAAAGAGAGAGAGAGAGAGAGAGAGAGAGAGAGAGAGAGAGAGAAAAAAAAAAAAAAAAAAAAAAGAGCTCCATAGGAGAGGGTTAGTTCCATGCTGTGCCCCGTGCTATGTGTCTTGACATAGTAGCTATCAATAATCGATCAGTTCATCAGTCCACGTTTGAGGCCCCATGCTGAGAGCTCTGTATACACTGCCTTTCAGTGGGATCCATTTTACAAATGAGGAAACTGAGAATTAGAAAAGCCAATAAAAAAAGAAAGAAAGAAAAGCTGATGAGTTTACCAATGTCAGATTTGAGCTTGCCATCTGGAGCGGAGCCCTGAGCTCTCCAAAGCTGGGGTGGGCACAGGCTACCCCTGTGCAGCCATGGCAGGCCAGCCACCAGGCTGAGGTGCACTTTCCTTGCAGACAAGAGGGGACACTTCACATGGACAGCTCAGATGGGAACTTGTGGCAAGGGGAGGGACGGCTTGTCAGACTCCCAGGCCTGTCTGTGGTGTGGGTCACTCATGGGCCAGGGTAATCAGCTGTGAGCTGACTCAGCCGCTCCGGCCCCTCTGGCCACCCTGGCTGCCACCCCTCCCCACAGCCTGGTCTGCAAAGCAAGCACAGGAAGATAGTTTAGATCAAATTCCAGTGAGGAGGGCTGGGGATATAGCTCAGTGACATAAGTGCCTGCCTGGCAAGTGCAAGGTCCTGAGTTCAATCCCTGGTACCACACACGTACACATGCACACAAGTCATTAGGAGGGAGGTGGGTTTTCGGTGGCATTCACACACATGCACACTCCACCGAGCTAAGTTTGGCAGGTCAGGCATGGTGATACCTATAGTGCCACCTCTCTGGGAGGCTGAAGCAGGAGGCTTTAGGCAACCTACCGTGACCCTAGGGATATAGCTCACTCAAAAGCCCTTGGTCAATGCCTAATATCGAAGGGTAAAATAGCCCAAAGGGCCAAGACGACACAATGGCTCTGTCACTGAAGTCCTGGCTCCTCTAACCCACAACTGGCAGCTCAGAGCCAGCACCCGCATAGTACAGCCACACCAGTGGGGCCAGCTTGCGTGGGCTTCGGCCCACATTCTCTCTTCTTATCCCACCAATTAACCCGAGGCCAACAGGAGGGGAAGGGCTACTGTTCCCAGGTTTCTGGAAGTGACAGCATCATGAAAACCCCAGGCCGCAGGACACTCCTTAGTTCAGCCTGTGTTAATGGAGTCTACTGTATTTTGTGTGGCTCTAACTTGGGTAACCAGCAGTGAGACAGCCACAGCCATGTCGGGGAACTTCCGTAGTCGGGAAAGCCAGGGACAACTCATGTAGAACTAGTGCTGGGACGGTTGGCACAGCCTGGGCACATGGCGCGGGCATGCACGTGCAGCTTGGGGGCGTGGTGGGCAGAGCTGGGTATTTGTGAATCCATCTTTGTGGTCCTCCTTCCTGTCAGTGCAAAGGCACGGGTGGCCCCCAAGTTGTCCTGAGAACTGTGGTGGGGGGAACCAGACACCTCATTGCTCTAGTTGTCCCCAAGTACAGTTGGTTAGGCTAGGTCCTCTGAGGCCTGTGGTGGCAGCACTGCCACTTGAGTGTGCTGAGAGTGAAACAGTCGTAGGGTCCTTGGGGCGCTGCCGCTGCTCAGGATTTTATGCAGAACCGCAAGATGCTTCCTTAGGTCAGGCATCTCCAAAGTTGGGCAGAAAAATATTAGACCTATTTATAGTCAACTCACATAATTGCTTTTGAATGTTTTTCTCTTCATTATGCGAGTAGTACAGCCAAGTGGTAGTGCGTAGCACAAGGGCGTAACATACTGATCAAGTTGCGGAGGCTCGAAGGTGCTCAGGTAGGGCCATCGAGGCTGCCCCATCTGCTTGCTGGTGTAAACTAAGAAAGCCTGAACCACAGACCCCCAGGACCCCCCAACTAGACCAACTGTGCCCCCAGATGTGCGAGCCCCGCTGCCCTGCCACACACATCACCGCACTCTGCCTTTCAAACCATTCACTTCACCTCCATAGAAGCAACACTATCTAGAACGAAGAAACGCAGCAGCAAAAGGTTGAAAATAAAAATAAAGCGGACTTTATTTAGAAGATAAAGGTGGTGGTATCAGTTTTGGTTAATAAAGTCGGGCTCAAGTGTGTTAACAGGTCTTTAATGCCATCACAGACTGGCATGCCAAAGGCATTCTGAATGCCAATTACAGATTGAAGGTGTTTCCAAAACCAAGACGCTACCGGAAGCTGATGGAGTTCTGATTTCTCTCAAGGTCGGACTAACACGCTTCTTCAATAGGAAGAGTAAATAGACTGCTTGGTTCTGAGTTAAACACTACACTGAGCAACTCCCCCGCCCTTTCTCCACAAGTCCCTAGGGCAGTATTATGGTCGCCTCCGACAGCTATAATGTCAACAGTTCAACAGAGGGGGCTGAAGGGAACTGGAGAGAATGAAGAGCAAAATTAATAAGTGTAACCGCATCGGCAGCTGCTGCTCATGGCAACCTGGAGTCTAGTCTGATGCCCATTCTCTTCACATTTGCACCGACATCTTCTCAAGCAGACGGTAAGGACATTCTTGAAGGAATGTGCTGAGACTAGGGTGGATGGCCCAGCCAAGCTCGCACATGATGGCTGGCAGGGCTGAGGGCAAGGACAGACACCGGCCTGTGGCGGGATCGCCGGCTGGAGGAGCTAGGAAAGGGCTAAACACACAACCAGTGCAGGTGTCTACAAGGCACCGAGACCACAGTCCAACCAGCCCACCGCCTCCTCCAGCAGCGAGGAGCTGGGAGGGGGCGTTCACAGCAGCCCGCATCAACTGCTCCCCTGGAACAAAACACGACAAACACACGAAGGTTTTGTTTTCGTTACGGTTCTCGGTGTTCTTTATTCTCCTGCTGCTGTCTAGCTAAGCAGCCCACACAGGACAGAAACGGGTAGCACTGAGGAATGATCGGATTATTTTCTTTCCCCAACATTCCTGCCCCCTCCCTAAGCCGTGCCCCAACCCTACCTACATCAGGAATGGTTAGTCTATCATCGACCTCTTCTGAGAGAAACTAAAACAGAAACAAGGCGTAGAGGACCAGGCCTCTGCAATAGGGCTCAGGAGCTGGTGATCCTGGTCACAATGGAGCGGCTCTCCTTCAAACACCTGGATTTTTTTTTTTTTTTTTTTTTTTGTACACTGGTTCATAGATCGGCACTTGACTTTGAACCTGGCACCAAAAGGCACAATATCTGATACCCTGTACAAGAGCTACTAGAGATGCTGCCGTGTGATGAGCAGAACCGAGCCACTCCCACTTGGGAACAAAGGCTGGGATGGGGCGGGACGACATAAAGCAAGAGATGGAGTGAACACAAGCCTGTACTTCTGGCTAGAATGGTGATAAATCAGTGGGAATAAGGGCCTGCTTTTTAATCCTCCAATTAACCAGGAAGCAATTTAAAAAACTCTCGGTGTTTTCCGAGGCAGCATATTCAAAAATGCCAGCAAAAAACTCCCAGTATCTGCAAAACTCAAAGGGGATCAAAGCTCACCGACATCCCCTCTTACTGCTGAGATTCCAGAATTCACGGTGCCCTGTTCCCTTTGTAGAAGGGAAAACGCTGATTCATGATCATCACAGTACATCACACTTTTTAAAAAATACTAAAGTGTGTGAGTAGGGGAATATTTGACACCGTCTTATTAATCTTCAACTTCAGTGGAAAAATAGAACCCTTCTCAAGCGCCATTTCACCCAAGAGTTCTAGTTAGCGTGCGTGCAGACGCGCACATGTTCCTTGCTTCTGTTTTGTTGGTTAGTTGGTTTTGAAAGTGCAGCAAGAGACCAATACCGCATTGTAGTCAATCAAATAAAAGAGAACAGAAGGCCAAGCAGTTTCCAAATGGATATTTTATCAGATTGTTTGAACATTAAATTTATCCTCATTTGCAATCCAAAATAGTTACCTGAAGTTGGCTGTTCTGTGTGTCTAGTTACTTTTATCGTATATCTGTTTTCCTAAAGTCTTTGGCACAATTGTTTTGGGGGCATTCAGACTGCCACGATGCAAGTAAGGAGAGAGCTTTGATTTTGTGCTGCCAATTTTGAGCATCTAAAATTTGGTTTGGGTTGTGGCTTTTTTGTCTCTGAAGTCTGCATTTTTATTTTTCTCTATCCTCTAACTCCGGAGTTCTTTCTTCCCCCTCCCCTCCTACATTCACAGTTGAGCCATATTATCAGGAAAGGCGCCTTGAGGGAGAACAGCTGGGGGCTCTGACCGGTGGTCAGTGTTTTCCCTAGATTTAAAAAAAAAAAAAAAAAAAAAAACAACCAAACAAAACCGAACCTAAAGAGCGTCTTTCCTTTTTCTTTTAAAACATCTCTTGTGCTGCATCAGTAGACAGAACTTCGGTTAGTTTATGAAATGCAACATCTAACCCTTGTTTTCTGGGGAAAAGAAACTGCAATGACTTGAAGTTGAGAATGTGGATACCGCTGCACTCACACACACTCATTCTCAGACCGCGAAGCCCTGGCCCTCCGCCTCCCGCCAGGCACGCAACAGGACCGCGTGGCAAAGGGACAGCAAAGGCGGGCTTTCGACCCAGGCCCGCTTTCTCCTCAGGAGCACAGGCCAGGCTGCCTTTACAACACAGCACCACAGCCAAGCCCAGTCCCTCATCTTCTCCCAAACCAGCCACTCCACTCGGCACTGGCCACAAGACAGAAAAGCTAGTCCTAGCCTCCCTTGGGAAGAGACCGCTTTAACAAGCCAGCAACTCCACCGCTCCTTTCCTCCAAGACGGCGACGTCAGGGTTTCCTAGAAGTCAGTGCTCACTTAGCTGCTAACAGCGCTGTTGGCGGCTGCTGCGGCGGGATTCCCAATGTGCTGTGTTTTCAAGCCTCACTCACTCATCCTCTCACTCCCAAACACTCAGCATCCGTGCACACTCCTCACTTCCGGGTTTTTCAAAAGATTGGAGATTTCCAGTGGGGGTCTCAGGTTATCTTCCCAATGGTAACAGATCTAGAAACAGACAAGGAAGAAAGGTCAACTCCTAGAGCAGATCCCAGGAGAGCACAAACACCCAATTCCTGCAAAACTAAGTGTCCCATGGCCTGAATGGGATCAGCCACGCAATCTCCCTGCAGCCACCCCAGAGTGCAGGCGAGCAAGTAAAGTCCACGCAGCCAGCTTTACTGGGATTTGTATAATCTCAGAGTAGCTGAGAGTATGGGTGGGGGGAACACACTATGTGCCAGAGCAGGGAATAGACAACCACGACAGGGCGTGTCGGGAGGGAGGGCTCTGCAGCAGAGTGCCAAGGCCGGCAATGGTGGTACGGGCCTAGAATCACTGCACTCAGGTGCTGAGGCAAGAGGGCCAGAAGGCTGAGCCCAGTAAGACAGCCCTGGGTGCAACCTCAGGACACACAAAATACGCCCCCAAAACAGAAGAATGGCCAAAGGGCTGAGCTGGGGGCAGGGTATTTGCCTGGCAAGTGCAAAGCCCTGGGTCCAACCCTTGATGCTTCCCCTGTCAAGGGGCACAAGGAAGGGAATAGGAGGATTATGGGAAAATCCTTTGCCAAGGGGCTTCCTGGGACCCAAAACCTTTTTGTGTATCAGGGATCAAACTCGGGACCTTTAAAGGACTTTCATCCTTGCCCTTGTAAGTTCTGCTGTCACCATAAGGAATCAAGTATCTGCCACAAAGAAAGGTTGCCCAACTGCCACTAGAGCAGAGGGCTGGCTCAGAAGCACCTGCGTGGGAAAGGGCACAGGGAAGTACACAAAGGCAGCCCTTCACAGTGCCCAGGAAGGTTCCCACCCGGCGGCTGGGCGAGGGCAGTGGAGACCAGCTCACCAAGCTTGGTTCTTCAGTTTCCTCAGCTCTTTAGTTGCCCACGTCGCAAGGGTTTTTGCTTTGTTAGTCTTCGATCTCCGCCCTTCAGTTAACAGTTCGTGGATCATGGGTCTGGCTTCTACTAACTTCAGCACGTCCTTCCCGAACGCTGTACATAAGTCCCTGTGCAAAGCAACACACGTGAGCACGGGCTCCCGGCTGTCCTGTTTGGAGCCAAGCAGTGAGGAGCTGCATGGGCTTCTTAGTCGTCACCTATTTTTAAAGGTGAAAGAGACTTTAGAGATAAACTAGGTCTTAAGTGGCAGGATAATTTGCCCAAGGTTAACCAGCTAACTCACAGTAAAGCATCAGAACCAGTAGTATCCAGGCCTTTGAGCTGAAAAACAATGTTTTTTGGGCTCTACAAGAACATCGCGTCTGGGCCTGGAAGGTAGCACAGTGGCAGGGCACTTGCTTGGTATACATGAGGTTCTGGGTTCAAGCTCCCGTAATAATAACACAAAAAAGAAATCTCTACATAGAAGTGGGTTGGTGATGCCGCCTGCACTGCTCTGTGCCCCGTCCTCTTCCTTGAGTATCGACCTCCACTCAGCCACCAGAAGGAGGGACAGCTTACCCTATGAGGCCAGCAGCGCAGGCTACTACTCCATCTGTGTGATCCTCATCTCCAGCAATGTGGTCGATGAAAGACAGAATAAATTCTACTCTTGGCTGTACCAGCATCACATCCGCTACAGAAGACAGACAAGGGTTAAGGAGGTTGCCCCGCACTTTGCAGGCCCATTCCTGTTCTCAAAATGTCAACCACTTCATGTGCCAGAGGCTCCCCAGATGGACACCAAACTATTCTCTTTCAGATTAGGCCGTCATTCTTCAAGTCATTAAAAAACAAATATTCGGGGGCCTGCCCCTTAGCTCAGTTCTTTAAGTGGCTACTTCAACAAAGCAGTCAGGCTCAGGTTGCTGTGGTTCGATCCCCACAACTCAAGCAGGCTAAACCTGCCCTGAGGTCATTCGGAGCCAAAACAAAAAACAAAACAAAACAAAAAAACAAACAAACCAAATATTCCTCTCCGGGGCTGGAGAGATGGCTCAGTGGTCTAAAGCACCTACTTGGAACAAGTTCAGCGAAGCACAGGGACCACGGTTCAATCCCCCAGCACCACATGCCAGCCAGCCCGCCCCCTGGTGGGCTGAGCTGGCCACACACCTCTCTCTCTCTCTCTCTCTCTCTCTCTCTCTCTCTCTCTCTCTCTCTAAAAAAAAAAAAAAAAACAAATATTCCTCTCCTATAAGCACACATTACACCGAGAGAACAAATGGACCTCTTTTCCTCTAAGCTCTCAATGATCAGGAGGTAAAGTGAAAAATCTCCCCCACTAGTCACAGAAATGCTGCGGGGGCACGTTGCTCAACAACTGCTACTCACGGTTGGTACAAAAGCAACCAGCACTCCTGCTACGTTTTTAAAAAAAAAAAAAACAAAAAAGCAGCCTTGCTAGATCCTGTTTTTTGAAATGCTCAAGAAATTCAAAAGAGCTGGGCAGGGTGGCATACGCTGGTAATCCCAGCACTCAGGAGGCCCAGGCAGGATGATCACTAGGAACTCCAGGCCAACCTGAACTACACTGGGAGACCCTGTCTCAAGAAACAAAAGAGGGCAGAGAGATAGCTCAGCAACCTAAGTGCCTGCCTGGCAAGCACGAAGTCCTGAGTTCAACCCCCAGTACCAAGAAAAAAAAGAAAGAAAAGAAAAAGAAGAAAAAAAGCTGGATCTGGCGCATGCTTGTCATCCCAGCACTTAGGGGGCTGTGGCAGGAATTCGTGAGTTTAAGACCAGCTGGGGCTATTAAGTGAAGCTTATTTTAAGGTCAGCCTGAACTGCATGCATAGTGAGACCCTTTCTCAAAAATACCAAAAAACAAAACAAGCCACTAACTAAAAAAAGAAAAAGGGAGACAGCCAGGTGTGGTGGCACAGGCTTATGCAATTCTGGCATTGGGGAGCCTGAGGCAGGAGGACAAAGCAAAAAAATATGACCACCTTATAGCCTGGCTATCCTACTGGCACTTCATTAGGGCTGTGCCTCCCTCTCCTGCTTGGCGCAGCAGACGCTAGTTCACCAGCGAGGGCAGAAGCCTGGAACTCCCCAGCTGGCCGAGGGCACAAGGCCAGGGACCAGGGCAGCGGGCTGTGTACTAACGGTGGACGTTCTCCTGGTCTCCCTTCAATCCCTGCACGATGCCGGTGTAGGCCTCCAAGCAGCCTTCTCTGAGCTCATTGAGATAATCCACCATGTCATAGTCCGACTGAAAGAGACAACACAGCACACGTGTCACACCAATCCCCTGCAGGGCTTTGCTGGTGAGAGTTCTGAGACTTTAGGTGCAACACAACAGTACGAGGCCTACCTTGTCCACCTGGGCCTGGGAAGCCTGCTGCAGAGTATTCAACACCACCTCTAGGTATTTTTTAAACTCTCCACCGATTGCAAGGGCAATGTCACCAAACACCGACAGAATCTGCGGTTTCACAGACCTGTGCACATTCTCATTCTGGCAAGAATAAAAGCACTGAGTTAATAAATGTCAGAATCCATTTAGCCCAGAGACCCCAGAAACTTTGTATGCACACGAAACTTACTGACTACTGCTGGACAGTGAAATGTTTTGCTTTCCTTTGTACCGCCCTCCCCCTCAAAAAGAGCACAATACTTTAACTGACTTCACGAGCTTTAGAATAATGTATGAAAATATATAACTCTCATCTTTGTGGGCCCACATTCAACATTCCAGGAAGCTGTGGTCCCCGATGCCTGTCTTGGGGACAGTGTGCGATGCTCACCCCCAGGTTCTCCAGCAGCAGCTGCATCACCTCGTCACAGAAAGGTAAGATGTTGGACTGCAGAGCGCGGCACAGGTCCCCCACCAGGCCCACAGCAGCCAGGCACACCTGCAAGGGGCGGAGAGGTCATCTCCAGATGGGAATGCGGCCGTGGGGTTAGTGTGGCTCTTACCTGGCCACTACTACTACCTGAGCCCAGCATGAGCGGTATGGTGCTCTGAGCGATGCCTCTGCCCACCCACAGCAGTACCAGGGATTGAACTCAGGACCCTGAGCTTGACAGGTGCTTAGTCTGCTGAGCTACCTCGCCGGTTATATATATTATGTATTTAGTACAGGGTCTATAGGATCTCACTGCACAGATTGGACTCGCAGTGATTCTCCTGTTTTCAGCTTTCCAAGTGCTGGGATCACAGCTGTGTGCCACCACACCCAGTCTCAGCTGCCATCTCAGCATGCCCTGGGGACAGGGCCAGCATGGCACACTGGGGATTGAACCCTGGTCCCTGCACTTGCCTAAGCAGGTACTTTAGTCCGTTGAGCTATCTGGCTGGCCCTATATTTTGTTTTTTTAAAATTTTATTTATTTATGTGTGTGTGTGTGGCCAGCTCAGCCCACCAGGGGGCGGGGCTGGCTGACATGTGGTGCTGGGGGATTGAACCGCAGTCCCTGTGCTTTGCTAAGCTTGTTCCAAGTAGGTGCTTTAGACCACTGAGCCATCTCACCAGCCCCTGGCCCTGTATTTTTAATTAATTAATGTCTTTTTGAGACAGGGTGTTTTTTTTTATTCTCTCCCCCCCCCCAACTGGGGATTGAACTCAGGCCCTTGCGCTTGCCAGGGAAGCGCTTATTCTACTGAGCCATCTCCCCGGCCCCCAGGGTGTCTTTTTGCAGCTCACACTGGCCTTAAGCTCACTTTGTTGCCCAAGCTGGTCTTTAACTTGCAATAATTCTCCTGGCTCTGCCTCCCAAGTGCTGAGATGACAGGTGTGTGCCACCATGCCTGGCTCAGTTAATTTTAACTACCAATAGGGCAGGAAAGGAACTAGGACCACTGGAAACATCACTGGAGCAGTGCAGTATTCACCAGGGACAACTGGGGAAAAGCGGGGTGGCAGTGGGATGTGGTGGGGGAGGGCTTCAGTTTTCAGGGGCCAGCAACCCCTGACTGTCTTGGCGCCATGGTGATGAGCCTACTGAGGGCTGCAGTGCAGCTCAGTGCTGATTCCCTGAACCACCAAAAGCAAATGCATGATTTCAAAAAAGTACCTGGTACTCAGCATAATTCTTCAGTCCAATGCCCAGGAAGGGTTTAAAGGCATCCATGTACTTAAGGAACTCACCACCCAACACTGTAATGAGACACACTGTTAACTGATGACAGAAATCCAGAACACAGCAATGAGCACAGTAATCATCCTACAGCTCCCAAAAGTATTCACTCCAGGGTAGAATGGGCGCACCGGACTCGATCGCTGTCTGCATCATGCCACAGGAATGCCGTTTCCTCTAAGCCAGATTCCTAACTGTTAGAAAGACTCGCCTGACGCTACCAAACCTTCCATAGGATCAAATGTTACTTTAGCTAAAACACTGTTGTAAGGCCCTAAGGAACTTTAGGGTGAATTCCGAATTGGCCGAGCTCAGAATACAGCCTCTGATCCACCCATCCCACTAGGAAGTCTTCATCTTTTCTGGAGGGCCCCAGGCAGGTCTTCCCATAGGGCTCGGCAGGGCCCACAACCAACCCCGGAGCCAAATTAACACCCTTGTCCTCTCCAGGTGGTCGGTCACACACTGCCAGGCCAGCTGGACACTTCACACCAGAAATATGTCAGGCCCTCAGGAGAGCGGGCCTTAGGTAACGGCCTCAGTGATGTCCCCCAAGTCCACCTGAAAAGGCACTGCAGTCTTCTAAAGTGCTCTGCAATGTGCCGAGTGGCCCTCCGAGTAACCCTCCAAGGAGTCTAAGTCACACCCGCCCCTGCACAGGCAGACACTGAACAGTCAGAAAATCACTGAATTCCTGCATTTCACCACACAGAACCACGACGATGTGTTAGGTAGCCAAGTCCCAAGCGATACAATTAAATAAAAAGTGCTGGGCAGCAAAAGAGACCTAGAAACCAGCCTTCACTATTCTTTTCTTTTCGGCCAGCTCAGCCTGTCCTGAGGGCGGGGCTGGGCCAGCATGTGGTGCTAGGGATGGAACCATGGTCCCCTGCGCCTGCCTAGGCGTGCCCAAGCAGGTGCTTTAGACGCTGAGCCATCTCACCAACCCCTTGCCTTCTCTATTCTTGACAGAAGCCAAAGCTCACTACAAGTTGAATTTGATGGGAAAAAAGACATCGGAGGAACACAAATCAGGTGGGTTTCCCCTGGAAAGCTATCATCTTAGTTGCAAAGCGGCTCCACATTTACTTCAGGAGCTGGTGAGGTATTTCATTAGGATTAAGCTCGATCCAGCTATGAACCGACTCACAAGACCGTGAGGAAGCGTTTTTCGCAGACACTTTGAAGGCCGGGACTTGGGCCTGTCCCAGCAGCCCTGCCCTGCCCCACCCCCTGACCTTCAACCAGTGTGCTGACGGCCATCAGGGCATCCTCCTGCACACCCCCGGAGCCAGCGGTGCTCTGGAACATCCTCAGGAGGGAGGCCATGACCACATCAGAGATCTGTAGAGCATCCTGGTGCTGCACCTTCCGCAGAACGTTCTGTGAGAGGAACAAGGGTTCAGCAGCCATTAACCCCAGACCTTCCAATACAAACACTGCACCTGTTCTTCCTATGTCAATGAAGTCGTGGGAAAGGCACAAACTGTCTGCACTAGAAGTCTATCCCTCCATGGTGCAGAATGCACCACCTCGTCGTCATCTTTGCCCGCCGGACAAACCCGTCAGTAACTGCTGTCACCTAGGTCTTACAAGAGGGACAGTTCAATTATTTCAGCATTAAAAGAAGGTCATTTTAGGAATGTTACTCACAAAGCAAACAAAAAGCAGCCCTGTTACGTCCTGACCCATTTATAGGCACTGGTCCAGAAAGTGTGCTTTTCTGTACAGCACCGGGATGGTCCTCCACCACCGAGCTGAACCCTGGCCTTTTTATTTTGGACACACTCTCGCTGTGTCATTCAGCGCAGCTTCAAACTTGTGATCCTCAAGTCTCAGCCTGCACCCAGCTGGGACCACACCTGTTAGGAAACGGCCTTGGCACGATAAAGCCAACCTGGCTCCACCCAGGTCCACACATCCTCACCCATCTCCCTCCTCCTTTTATTTGCTGCTTCAACTCCGATCACTGAACTGCTCCTATGTTTTATCTGGTGAGAAAAAAAGCTCCCTTAATATTCATGCTTTTAAAAATGAAGTCTAAAGACCGGCCAAATAGCTCAGCGGATTAAAGTGCCTGCAAGCAGGCGCAGGGGCTGGGGGTTCGATCTCTGGGCTTCCCTGCCCCAGGGCATGCTGAGACTGGGCATGGTGGTGCCTGCCTGTAATCCCAGCTCTTGGGAGGCTGTAAACAGGTGGATCACTACGAGACTGATCTAGTAGTAAGACCCTGAACACCCTGTAGACCCTCCCCTAAAATACACACACCCAAAAGAAAGAAAAAAAAAAAATTAAAAGCAAAAAAATGAAGTCTAGAGCAAAGGGCATTCACAGATAAGCCACCCAAGTCAGGTCACTGAATACTAAATAAAACCCAGCCCCTACTCAAGATGCAGACAAGAAGCTATTTTCCTTCAACTCTCTGCTAGCAAAGGGAATAGCTCCATAGCCAGCTCCTAGTTGATTTCTTTTTTTTTTTTTTTTTTTTGGTGGAACCAGGGATTAAACCCAGGCCCTTGCCCTTGCCAGGGAAGCGCTTATTCCACTGAGCCATCTCCCCGGCCCTTAAATGTTGTGGTTTTTTTTTTCCTCAGCTCCTGGTTCACAGCCATGTTTTATTTTCCTTTTTTCCCCTAGTCGCTCCTTGAAAAAGACTGCTATGAGCACAAGGCACTGTACATGCCGTAACAATATTAAAGCTCCTGACACCAAATGTCTTAAAAGCTGCCGGCAGGCGTTCAAGCTGTATTTTCAACCAGGGGAGCTGCAGCTGGGAGCCAAATCTGATCCAGGCTCAGACAACCTCACAAAAGCAAGACTAAAGGCTGCCAGCACAGCCTGGCTGTACAGCTGGAGGGTCTAGCACGGAGAACTAGGAGCCTAGCACAGGGACCACCTGGGCGACTGCTTGGAGGAGGAGCACTTGCCCTCATTTTGAGTGAACCGAGCCCCATTTCCCTGCATGGATGTGTACAGAGCTGGCTAGGGCTCTTCCTTATCCCTTCAACTGGTTGTAAGTGACGAGAATCAGTCCAGCTGAGGTGCTGACTGACAGAGCAGTGTCTGTGCTTGCCCAGCTCCCAAGTACAGTGCGCATGAGCTGAGGCAAGGTGGGATGGAGAGCTGTGTCCCATGAGCTGCGACTTCCCGGGCCATAACGGATCACACAGCAGAGCTGAGGCACCGGCCCAAGCCCCAGACACGACCTCAGTGGTGGCGGGAGACTGCTTTTTCTGCACACCCTTCTGTCTGCAATATTCAAAGGGGACCTCAGGCCACCCACCACCCAGCTTGCAGCACTCAGCTACTTCCTGCCATCCTCCAGTCGCTCATTCTCAAACCACTCTCTTCCTCATGAATCAACAAAACCCAGGTTTGGCCTTTGCTCTGGACAGCCATCATTATAACTAGACTTAGGACCCCTTGGCTCCCCTAACTATGAATATACCTTAGCATCTTTTCGCTATGGGTTGTGCTGAAAGTAAACTGGAATTAACTTGCTAGAATTCCAGTAACTTTTCCATAGGATTATAAAAGTTCCTGGGGCTAGGCACAGGACTGGGAAGTGGGAAAGGTCTCTGCCAGTTAGCATCATCCACATACCTGAGACCTTGCCAGTGCTCCAGCCTGTCACACTCAGCCAGACAGCTAAGAAATGTCAAGGGCCTGGGGCTGGGGAGATAGCTCAGTAGAATAAGAGCTTGCCTGGCAAGCACAGGTCCTGTGTTCAATCCCTGGTCCCCCCTCCAGAAAAAAAAAACCCTCAAGGGCCTGCCATACCTGAAGTGTTGCGCACAGTAAAGACTGAAGGTCATTAAACTGGATCCTGTCAGATGTGCTCTGGATGTGTGACTGCAAGCAAAGAAGAGAACGTCATGTTCTGATGAAACCTCCCACTTCTGCCACGGCTCCCAGGCACATCAAACTCATTACTAATGCCAATGTAGAAAAGGGAACACACACGCACAAGACACGCAGTGTAACATGCATGAGTAAACTGTGACAAGCAACGCAAACATTAGCTGACAATGGTTCTTTCTTCTCCAAATCACATGTCTTGCTCACTGGTAGCCTGAGCTGGACCTAAGCCCATGGCAAACCCTCCTGCCTGCCTCTGACTCCCAAATGCTGGGATCACAGGTATGCACTACCATGCCTGAGACTTGCTTTGTTTTGAGGAGCCCGCAAAGGACCTTGCTCAGGGCTGTGTCTCTCACATAAAACTTTCTGAACAGATATACACTTAAACACCAAAACACAGTGGTAGCCCTGAAAGGAGAGTTCTGCCTCAGCTGCCCCAGCAGACAGTGCTCAGGCCTCACCTCCATCTGAAGCACCTGCTGTAGCCGCTCCATGATGACCAAAGTTGTTTTCTGGACGGCAGGATAGCAATCCTTGGCACTGTTCTTCACGATTTCCATGAGCGATTCATATGCAGAACTCCTCAGATTGTTCTGGTGCCCGTCAGGTCTGCAGGAAAGAGAAGGCAAAAAACCTTAAAGACTCAATTTGCTACAATGTAGAACTTTCTCTCCAAAATCAGGAAACCAGAAGCTAACAAGACTCTATACTTAGTCTGGCAACACAGTATCAAAGAAAAAAAAATTTAAGTCCTTTCAGCCTATGGTCTGTTGTTTATATTCAGAATGGCCCCCTGGAGAAAACGCTAAAATTATAGCATACAAGTGGGTTAAGTGCCAATGGACCACTTCAGTCAAGTGGCTGTATGGCTGCTGTCATGGCTTAAATGCAAACTCTCCACAAAGACTCGTTTGCTGAGGACTTAATCCCAATTAACAAAGCATACAAGTAGCCCAGAGACCACAGGCACCAGGGTTCTAACTTCACAAGCAGATCAGAAAGCAGGGAAGCAGCGGCGGGCCCGGCAGAGTGAGGGGTGGCTCAGTGACTGGATCTGGCCCCTAACCCTTCCCTCTCCAAATCACACTCCTTGCTTCCTGGCTGCTGTGGGGTGAGGTACCTTTGTCCCCCAGCCCTGTTGCCCACCTCTCCTATCCCGCCCCCTCCTGTGGCAAGGTTTCTGCCTTGCATAGGCAATCGTGGACTGAAACCCCTGAACCTAGAAGCCAAAAATGTATCCTTCAACAAATTTTTTCAGGTCCTTGGTCACAGGAACAAAAACTGACTAACACAGTGACTATGAGGTAGGTGGACCAATTTTCTTCCCAGGGCTGCAAGAGATGTCTATGTAGACTGCTCAATAGTGAGGATGAGGTCACTAAGCTCCTAAGACCTATGCACATACCATCCTGAGAGTTCACTCTACCCACAGCCTGACTTGAGGTAATGTTGCATCAAACAGGAATGATTAAAATGTGCCCCCAACTTATAGTCCTTTAAAATCAAATATTAATCCCTGGCGCGCTGTGCCCACCCTACCCATGGGGCGCACTGAGATTTCAATTAAGACTGGGCGTGGTGACGTGCACCTATAATCACTAGGAGTCCAATCTCCATAGTGAGACCCTGTAGACCCTGTCCTTAAATTCATAAAAAACAAACAAGGGGCTGGTGAGATGGCTCAGTGGTCTAAAGCACCTACTTAGAACAAGCTTAGCAAAGCACAGGGAACCGTGGTTCAATCCCCAGCACCACATGCCAGCCAGCCCCGCCCCCGGGTGGGCTGAGCTGGCCACACACACACACAAATAAATAAAAATTAAAAAATAAATAACATTTAAAACAAACAAACAAACCCCTCCAAAAAAAATCAACTATTTAAACACTAGCGTCTTCACACACTGTCACACAGGACAGCTGATTCAGTGCGGCAACTCAATCCTTATGAACACAGCCACCATTTCTCTTTATACCACAGCCAAACACTTGCTGTGATCGCTCAACACAGCAAACTGAAGAGAATGTGCCCCTGTCCCTTCCTCTGTGGGAGCAGAGCGGAGACTTAAGATTGTAATGGTAAACCAAACACTCCTAGAATAGGCACAGACTACACTTACTTTCCCGTCTCCTTTGTTGTTTTTGCGGTACTGGGGATTGATCTCAGGACCTTGTGCTTGCCAGGCAGGTGCTTATTCTACTAAGCTATCTCCCCAGCCCTGTCTCCTTTATTTAAACAACAGTAAATGTCCATAAAGTTCCTACTTACTCTCTCAGGAAGCCCAGCCTGCCCCCCCCACATCTCTGTCCTCCTCACAGCAGTTCGAGGCAGCACTCGGGCACTTCCATGGTGCCCAGTTACCTGTCTGTGGTCTCCAGGAGCTTCTGAACTATGAGTTCAAATGAGGACGACAAGCAGTAGGTGGCTGGTTCTTCTTGATCGTCAGCTACATCAGCAGCTTCATAGGCAGCTTCAGCCAAACTGGAGAAAGCCTGAAATACATGCAGGTTAGCGCTGGCCCTGCAAGCGCCTGCTGGGGTTGCCTCACTGTGCCTTGAATTACACTTAGCAGTCCTCATCTCCAAATGACCTAAAAAGCAATGCTAGGAAACCGCCCTGCTTTGTTGGTCAAGGTACTCAAGATAGCACTCAAGGGCCAGGGAGATAGCTCAGGGGCATAAGCGCTACCTGGCAAGCACAAGGTCCTGAGATACAAAAAAAAAAAGTTAACATTTGACTGCTATCTTTATCCGTCTATGCTGTGTTTGTTGTTAGTACAGCTTGACAACCTGCAGCCCTGAGCCGCCTCATACCACGCTGAGCACCAGTGCCTCTCCCTCGGGCTCGCAGGAAGGCCAACCAGCCTCATGCCTCGCTCCCTCCTGCCGTCCATGCGGATTCAGAAATCCTTCGAGGACGTCCTGACGCAGTGGCCAGGCCACCAACCCCCCTTCTGTCCCACCCCTTCTCAGCAGTGGTCTTTATTACGGCCAATGACTTCAACTTGATCAAAACTTTTTGTCCCTAAGCCATTGAAGGAAGAAATGTCTTCCTGCTGGGTTACCATGACTGCTCTAAGTGCTTTAGGAACCAGGCACAAGAGTGAACGGCCCCCACAGGCTCCTGCAATTGGCATCTCTCCCATCTTTCAGCATAAGAATTAAAAAGGCAATAGGATTCAGAAATCCTTCCACCCGGGGCGCACCCACACCTCCTCCTCTCCTGCCATTGGCTCAGCCACACTCCCATCTCATGGGGAACAGAATCCCTCACCCAGCACACGTTGGAAGCCACTCGGGGCTCAGCACTGAGCCCCTCAATCAGACACTGCAGCAGGGGTGCCAAGTAGACGTCGTTAATGGCAGCTTCAGGGAGCAACTCACAAATTCTGCCCACCGTCCATGCAGTTGTGTCTCGGACCACCACACTGGGGTCTTTCATTAATTCTATTAGGGTGGGCATAGCCTAAAGGAAGGAGAAAAAGGTTGATAGTTCATGTGGATACCCGCTGGGAGAGGAGACAGTGACCAAAGATGGGACTTTACCTTTGAGACAGTTCTGAAACATGAAAGTCAGACCAGTGTGATGTGCAAAAAGCCCTGCAGCTGTCACCAAGTCCTGGGAGAATTTGACTAAAAGTCTGCATTTCTAGCACTTGCTGTGAGTTACTCTGATAAACTCATGATACAGTTATGCTGACATTTGGCTACACTGTGAAACTGGATTTTATTTATTCATTTATTTTTCTGTATCTTAGGGAAGGGTCTACGGGGTGTTCAGGGTCTCACTACTAGATCGGACTCCTAGTGATTCTCCTCCTAAGTGCTGCGATTACAGGTGGGCACCACCACATCCAGTCTCAAACACCGTCTCAGCATGCCCCTCAGCGTGGCAGAGCCAGCACAGCAGGCCCATAGATCGAACCCCCAGCCCCTGTGCCCACTTGCAGGTGCTTTAATCCACTGAACTATTTGGCTGGCCCTGAAACTGAATTTTATAGGCGCAGAGTCAGCTAGAACAATTCTAAGTGTTTTTGTTTGTTTGTTTTTTCTCTGAATGCCCTCAGGCGTGGTTTGGCTGGCTGGAGTGTTGTGGGAATCGAACTACAGCAACCTGAGGCTGACAGCTTTGTGGAAGCAGCCACTTAAGGAACTGAGCTATGGCCAGGCCCCCTAGAACAATTCTTACATCCTTTATATCACTAAAATAAGCATCACATCCATGTCAAGTTCATTCAAAGCATAGAATAATTATCCTCTTATCAAAAATTATAAAGCATTAGGGCTGGAGAGATGGCTCAGTGGTCTAAAGCACCTACTTGAAACAAGCTTGGCAAAGCACAGGGACCGCGGTTCGATCCCCCAGCACCACATGCCAGCCAACCCCGCCCCCTGGTGGGCTGAGCTGGCCACACACACACACAATAAATAAATGTAATAAATAAAAATAAATAAATAATTTAAAAAAATTATTAAAAAAAAATTATAAAGCATTAAAGCACTTGCTTAAGGCAGATGGCAGGGGCCAGGAGCTTGATCCCTGGCCTGCCCTGCCAACCAGCCCCCGGAGCACGTGCTGGAGACAGAAAATCAGACTGGGTGCGGTGGCACTCGCCTATAATCCCAGTGCTTTGGGAGGCTGCGAAACAGGAAGGATCACTAAGAGTCCAATCTGTGTAGTGAGACCCTATACTAAATACATTAAAAAAAAAAAAAAAACTGTGAAGCAGAGGGCATACACCTATACTAGCTACTGAGGAAGCTGATGAGGCAAGAATGCTGAAAGTCTGAGGCCAATACAGGGGTACAAATTCCCCATGATGATTGTGATCATCATGTTTACCTAATGTACCAATAAATGCAATTTTAAAAACAAAGTCTGAAGCCAGCCTGGTCAACTTGGGAAGTTCCTGTCTTGAAGAGTTGGGGTAGGCATGATGGCGCACGCCTGTCATCCTAGGACCTGAGGCTGTGGCAAGAGGATCACTGGGAGTTCGAGACCATCCTGGGCCACAAAGTGAGCCTAAGCCCAATCTGAACTGTGTACTGAGACCCTGTCTCAAAAAAGTCAATAGATAAGATCTGAGGGGTTGTGGAGACAGCTCAGTAGAATAAGCATTTGCCTGGTAAGCGCCAAGGGCCCAAGTTCAATACCCAGTTCCACCAATAAAGTAAAATAAGTAAAAAATAAATAAGAGTTGAAGGGAAGCTCAGTGGTAAACTATTGCTATGGTTTGTGTCTAGTTGTACCCGTAAAGTCTCATGTAGTCATTGGGGAGGCTTCTAGTGTTTGTGCCTAATTAATGATCAAATTCAGGGATTGTGGGTAGACCACTGTACCTGAGGACAGCTGGAATGCAGTGTAAGGGTGGGTGAGAGGATCACCTCTGGCCTCCCCTCCTGCTCTGGCTGCTTTCCACTGCTATGGACTGCTGCTCTCTGCCATGTTGTCCCAGCAACCAGAGAAAAGTACCCAAGACAACTGCTATACCAGCTAGCACGCAGAAGGCTCCAGGTTCAACCCCCATTATTGTGAGAAAATAGTAAAAGACCATACACTTTATAAAGTGCACAGAAATGTTACCCTTATGAACAGCATTTGACTCTGGAAGTAACTTTTATGGAGTTAAACAAGCCAGCTTGTATTCCAGCTTATACTCCCAAAGCCTTGAGCATCCCTAAAGCCCTGAGCCGCACCTGTATAACCAGTGGCTTGAGCTGAGTGGGCTCGGGGCCTTCCAAGATGCTGCCGAAGGCCATCACTGCGGCTTCCCGGTACCTCCAGTCTGGGTTCTTGATGTGCTCCTTGATGAAGGGCAGCACGTGTGGCACCACATCGTCCTCGCAGCAGGTGGACAGCAGCATGAGGCAGACGCCCGCCGCCTTGCAGGGGTTCCAGTCATCATCATCGTCATTCTCATCCTGAGGGGCAGAGCGTGGGGTCAGCACTGCCCAAGTCACTGCACAGCACTGGGAGGCTGGGCGGGGCCTGGGTCTCGTCAGCCCTGGCTACACAGCAAGTTCACACTAGAGCAAAGCCATTTTAACCCCACAGGGCAACCCACGCAGGACTGCTCCTCTCTCCCAGGATCTGATTCCCTCTTCGGTTGGTCTGATAAATTCTCCTACTCTTAAAGAAATGACTGTTTCCACCAAACATCCTGTGTCCGCGCAGCTTCAGTACTCAAGTACCATGAAACTAAAACAGAAACCCTTACTCTTCTCTCTTTCATAAGGACACAATACATCACAGTCTGTTAGAGTGAGAAGGAACAACTTTCCTTAGAATATATGATAGTAACAAGCAAGCCTCAACTTTATCTAACAGTGAGAATGGAACGAGGAATGTGGAGTAGGGCTGGGCAGGCGCTGCACCCTTCTAAGCACAGCATTCTGGATGGAGACTGAGGCTGGAAGACAGCACGGCAAACTCAAGCCCACCCTGGGTACCTTAAGAAACGCATCTGTCTCTAAACAAAATGGAAAAGAATTGGGCTGGATATGCAGCTCCGTGTTGCTCGCTTGCCTGATGTGTTTGAGTCCCTGTCCAAAACCTGGACGCTGAGGCAAAAAGATCACCACAACTTCCGGCCAGCCTGGCAACACAATGACTGTGAGACTACCCTAACCTATAAGGAGGCCCCATCTGAAAAGAAAATGCAGAGGCCGAGACGTAGCTCAGCGGCACAGCCTGCTGGCAAGGGTAAGGCTCTGAGCTCATGGCTGCTAACAACGCAGTCCTCCTGCCGCCTCCAGCAGTGCTGGACCCCAGCGGGCAGCGCCACGCCCAGCTCAGGCGTGCTTTCAGGCCGCAGGTGGTCACCCGACACAGTGACTCAAAGCAGGCTGTCTACGCAGTTCCAGAGTTAGACATAGAGAATGATTTGCCCTCAAGTGAGGAAAGCACAGCGAAGCAGACAGCAGCAGGAACACTCCAGAGTGGAAGAATGCTAGTGCGGGATTCTGAAAGAGTACACAAGACCCAAAGTGTACAACAGATACTGTAAAATCGGAAGGAACTTGTGAAGAGAACCTAGGAATGGAAAAAAAGGAAACACACACACACACACACACACTAGTTAAAATAGTTATAGAAGTTTTAGTTCATTGGAAAGAGGTTTGCACTAAGATTGTTGGGACAATTAAGTGCACGTATCTTGTACGCTAACTAAAGATAACAGTATTATCCACTGTTACCCTCCTTGTTGGATATTTTTTTGTTTTGCTTTTCTTTAAAGTAAAAATTAGGGCTGGAGAGATGGCTCAGTGGTCTAAAGCACCTACTTGAAACAAGCTTGGCAAAGCACAGGGACCGCGGTTCGATCCCCAGCACCACATGCCAGCCAGCCCCGCCCCCTGGTGGGCTGAGCTGGCCACACACACACACAATAAATAAATGTAATAAATAAAAATAAATAAATATTAAAACAATACTTTAAAAAAAAATAAAATAAAAAAAATAAAGTAAAAATTAAAGAAGTGCCAGGCATGGTAGCAAAATGCCAGCCTGAGCGTCAGAGTGAGTGTTCAAGGGCCAGGCAATAGCTCAAGCCTGGAAGGTCCTATGTTCAAAAAAAGGAAACAAAGTAAGTGCACAGCAAAACTGTGTCTCAAGGGGCCTGGGAAATAGCGCAGTTCAATAAGCATGTGCCTGGCAAGCGCAAGGGCCTGAGTTCAATTCCTGGCTCCACCAAAAAAAAAAAAAACAACCTGTGTCTCAAAAAGACAATAACCAAAGAAAAAACTCCAGAAAATTCTCATGGGGGCGGGGTGGGTGTGGGGCCTAAACTAGGGACAGAACATTAAAGGAATACCTACTCCACTTAAAACTAAACCACCAACCTCCACTGAGCAGCTGCCATACTGGAACTGCATCCTTCCAAGTGACACTTCTGCACGCACAGCGGTTCCCTAGTGCCCCACAGGACCCTCCTGCCACACGCATGCATTATTTCCCAGGCACCAGAAAAAATGAGGTAGCCAGAAGTTCCCAGACCGCCAGGGAAACACGATGCGTACAGGCCAGAGAGGAGCAAGCTCAGGACCCCCGCAGCAGAAACATGGCCAAGCCCAGGGCTCCTCAGAGTGAGTCACAGCTGCATGAGGCACTAGCTTTTACTTTGTCCTACATCTTAACACTTGATGTTAATGAACTGGAAGATCAGCACAAGTTCCTTTACACAGGTTCAAGTCCTTCATCACACCTAAATAACTAGTACCCAACCAACTTCGTTAGCATTTTAAAACACAGCTATAGGGGGCCTGCCCCTTAGCTCAGTTCTTTAAGTGACTGCTTCAACAAAGCTGTCAGGCTCAGGTTGCTGTGGTTCGAGCCCCACAACTGAAGCCAGCCAAACCTGCCCTGAAGGCATTTGGAGCAAAAATAAATAAATAAATAAATAAACATAGCTACAGCCCATGAATCCACAGATAGCCCAGATATCTCACCATGACCTTGTTTACTGCAGTTTCAATGAATGCATCTCTTCTTTTAGTATGGACCTTGTGACAGGGTCCTCAGGAAACCGGAACAGGGACTGGCTTATTCCCAATCAAGATTCATGAGCTACAGAGACCCCAGCCTCCACAGACAACTCAGAGCCAGGGGACCACATAGGCCCAGCTCTGCCACTCCTGAGTCATCTGCTACAGTGCTGCCAGTCTCCTCCATGGAAACCGGTCCACAGCACACCAACCCACTCCAAGGCTTCACAGCCTACGTGGGGGTGGGGAAGGAGCCTCACCTGTTTAGTTAGCGTCTGTGTGAGGATGGGAACTAGGTACTGTAGTGCTCCCTTGGCGTAAAACTTGCTGGTGTGCTCAGGGGGCCGCCCTTGATCTGCTGCCTGAGAAAGATAAAGCAGATGTTAGATAACAGCTGACTAAGGGCGCACAGCTGGAGCTGCCCCCGGTCAACAACAAACACAGGGGCAAAGGCTAGTATCTGCCGTGATCTCCCCCTCCAAAGTACTGGGCGCTGAACCCAGGACATGGACCAAGGAGCTAGAGCCAGGCTGAGATTCGAGGCTGGCTTCAAACTTTTGAACTTGCAATCCTCCTGGCCTCGATCACTTGAGTAGCTGGAATTATAGGTGTGCAGCCCGGCCAAAGAAGGTATTTATGTTTTGATCTACTTCACTGAAATTCTTTTAGGCCATAAATGTAATCTTTTTTTGAAAGACCAAGGCAACCTTAAGAATTAAATCTCTTTCCACCAGCTCAATGCATATTAACAACCCGACATCTAGTGTTCTTTGAAATCAGATGAACAAAGTTTACATAACAGTGTCCAAAACAAACGTGCCAAAAATAAAGCTTTATTTTCAGAAATGTAAAAATGAGGTTGCAAACAAAGCTTAATTTCAAGTATAGAACAACTTTACCCCATCCGAGACTTCTTCACCAGAGCCAATAAACTATTATCCATCTTAAGCTTGCCTCAGGACCTTAGAAACCAACTAATTGGGCCGGGGAGATGGCTCAGTGGAATAAGCGCTTCGCTGGCAAGCGCAAGGGCCTGAGTTCAATCCCCAGTTCCCCCAAAGAAAAAAAAAAAAAAAAGAAAAAAGAAACCAACTAATCCAGCGTATGTGTCCCCTGGATAAACTGCCCACCTGCTGCCCCCTGGTGTCCACAGCACCAATCATCAGCGCATACAATAAGTTACTCCCGTGTGTGAGGGCGTTAGCTAGAGAGAAAACTAGAATCTCTACTAAGAGGGAGAAGCTGCCAGACCCACTGGGCACAGGGACAGCCCTCCCTGCCTGGCCTTCTCTTGCACTCACCTCAGAAGCCTCGATGGCTAAATCCATTTCCTCATCGCAGACATTGGACCAGAACTCTATCCCCTGCAGGGCCACCTCATCTATGTCGCTTTTCATTGCTTCAATTGTGATCTTAAAAGGAAAAAATACAAGACCCCAGACCCCAATAAATACTGATTCACACTGAACCCCTTCTTTAACCAGACACTGAAGTGTCAAAAACAGAGTTTGTAAAAGCTAGTTTTTCATCTTTTTTAGTCAGGGTTTCACTATGCAGTTCAGACTGTCGCTGAACTCATTTTGTGACCCAGGCAGGCCTTGAACTCAGCAATCCTCCTGTCTCAACCTCTAAGTGCTGGGATTAGAAGCACACAACAGAACAAAAAGTTTTCTTTTTTCAAAACACATTCCTTTCAGCATCAAAGATAGAAAACTTGTTTTGCCACACCTCATAGTACTCAAGGAAATTTTTTGTCTTGTTTTAAGACAGATTTTCCCTACATAGTTCAGGCTGGCCTCAACCTCACTGTATAGCCAGCCAGGCTGGCCTTGAACTCGTAGCAGATTCTCCTGTCTCGGCCTCTCAAGTGCTGGGATTACAGGGGTATGTCACCATCCCCACCCTGTTTCACAATATTAAGTAAAAAATTACAGGATAAACTGCAACTGAGAATGATGAGCCTTGCAATTAGCTACAGAGATAAATCACATCAAATACTCACTGCAAAAAGAGCAGGACCCATATACGTCTCCATGTACTGATAATACAAAGACATTATCTTGACCAGATTCTGTAAAGCAGCCACTCGTACCTTTAAAGAGATTAAATGACTGAAATAGCAATGCAGTTTGTGAAGGCGACTGACCAGCCAACCATCTACAGTAGACACAGCGTGTGCTATTTTCTCCTCAAACACAATTTTCATTGTGTCTCTGTACATTTTGTTTGTTCTTCTTTCCTTCAGAGGTGCCTGGGGAACCCATAGCAGGCCTGAACTCATAATGCCACTCAGACTGAAGATGTTACTTTCACCAGCTTCAAGAATTAACAGCTTGGGTTACAATAAAAGCAACACTGTTTCAATGTCTACAGCTGAAAACAATCACCTGAATAACCTATTGCAATAAATAAAACAGCAAACCACTTCTCCCTTGCACAGTCCCTTTGACTGTCATCCTGGGTAGTGAGTCCATCCGTGGGCAGACGTATGCTAAGCAAGTGCTCTACCACTAAACTTCATGGCTGGTCCCACCCACTCCCCTTTGCGCTTTGTAGCTCAGCTGATCTTGAACTTGTGATCCTCTTGCTTCAGCCTCATGAAAAACCTTTTTAGGGGCTGGGGAGATGGCTCAGTGGAATAAGCACTTCCCTGGCAAGTGCAAAGGCCTGAATTCAAGCCCCAGTTCCACCAAAAAAAAAAAAAAACAAAAACAAAAACAACAAAAAAAACAAAAACAACTTTTAAGAGGATGAGAATTTCCATTGTTTTTCAAAAAACACTGTTTTCTCCTCTCTAATCCATAGAGAAAAATTCCTGACAATCTGTCAAACCTGCTTAATCCATCAATTTCCCCATGTTCCAATTCTGTATGCTAGTCTGCCTCCTTCAGGGAGATAAAGACATTTTTTCACGTGAGCTCACTTACCCTTGTATCTGGACACTGGGTGGCTTCACAGACCACCTGCATAATAAAGTGCCTTTCAGACTGCAGAGGAATAAAGAGAATAGACAGAATTAGAAAAGCACAAACTTAAGACTTTCAGATTATTATTTTTTTTTCTTGTACTGGGAATCAAACTCGGGATCTCACAATCACCACGCAGGCGCTGTGTCACTGAGCCATTATCTCCAGCCCTCTAGGTTCTCTTTCCACAGAGCCCATCACTTGTCAGGCGCCTAGGTGAACCAGGCACAGCCCAGCAGCTCTTCCTGGAGGCGGCTTGTGAGAGCACCAAGGAAGCGAGGAGTGTCCCGCAGTGTCTGCTACAGAGCCAGCCCAAGAGGCCCCTAAGCCTTTAATCCCCAACATGACCTTCCCTAGCAGCAGCTGACAGGAAAACGTAGGTCACAAAGGTTAAGTAAAAATAGTGAAAAGAGTAACAAAAATCTACTTGTAGGAACAGCAACTTTCTTGTATTCATTAAAATTAAAAGAAAACATCTGTTCATCTTTAGAGACCAAATTTGTTCTGTGGAACATGGAAAACCTGTATCAAATACATTGAATAACGGACTTTTGCTTGCTACCCTCCCAAATCTTTTCAAGTTCAAAAGGAAATTCTTGTTTTCAAATCAAAATTGTAGGGCCGGGGATGTAGCTCCGCAGTGCAGTACCTGCCTAACAAGTGCGAGGAGTTCCAATTCCAGGTACAAAAAAAGAAAAAAGAAAATGGTAAGACGAATTCTACTTTGCTCTGCCTTCTTAAACCTGCCCTTTAAAAGGTCAAGAAACAGAAATATCAGCCAATGTGCCAAAAATCAGAGACAATGAAATACTCGCAGACTCTGACCCAGGAGCCCTGCTTCTAGGGACGTGGTACTTCATAGGACGTGACATCAGGACCTAAGAGAAAAGGCCAGAGCAAGGCAACTGGGTGGCGCAATATGCCAACACCACCTATACAAAGAAAACGCTACCCTGCCTGAACAACTCCGGCCCACCCTGCACCATGGGCCAACTTCGAGGACATTATGCAGTCACAAAAAAGCAGGCCAGTCAGGATCTGTTTATACATGATGTCTACAGCAGTCAGATTCCCTAAGAACAGTACAACAGTGCTGGTCTGTAGCTGGGGAAAGGAAAATGGGGAGCTGTTCAAAGCTCCGCAGTTCCACAGCAGCGCGAGACCACACTCAGCCCAATGCCTGAAAATGGTTGTTGTTTTGGTTATACTCGGAATGGCCCTCAGAGGTACTGTTTGATGGAGCCACATCCCTTTTTTACTTTGAAATAGGGCCCTGCCAAGTCGCCCAGAACTTAGAAAACTGCCTCAGCCTCTTGAGAAGCTGGAATTACAGTTGTGTACCGTGCCTCAGGCTGAGATGGTAAAAGGTAAAGTTGTATGTATTTTACCACACTCGTTTAGTAATGAGCCAGGCACTGCAGCACATGCCTGAAGTCCTAGCACTCTGGGATTCTGGGGCACAATTCCAAGCCTGATCCCAACATGGGCAACTTAGTAACAGTGAAACCCTATCACAACAGGGGCGAGGGTGGGGTACAATAGGCGAACTTTTAGGCAAAACATTTTATATGCCTGATGTGAACTGTACACACCCACTTTCACCACATCTCCCCCCATGTAGTGGTTGACTGTGTCAACTTAAGAAGTTTACCAGCTTAACTAAACCAACTCAGTCATTCTATATATACTCTAGGGGTCAAAGAGCCACCTGTGGGAGGCTCATGGCCTGGATGGTATAAAAGGAACTGAGAATGATGGATGGGCTTCCATCCCTTGGAGGAGCCCCAGTCTCGGCCTTCAGCGTGGAATGGCATCTCCTGGCTTCCCATGCAGACACTTCAGCCTCCACCTTGGACCCTCCAGACTCCAGATGTAGACTCATCAGCCTTTTGTCTCAGACCCACTGGCCTCCTGATACGGACTTGCACGGAACACAGCAGTGAGCTCCAGACCTTGGACTGAGTCCTTCGGCCTCCAGTGTGCAGGTGCCCTCCACATGCTTCCTCATCTGACTCTGGCTGACCAGCATAAGCCAATCTTGTGATTTCTTGTATCTCTGTACATCTTGTGTTATACTTGTTTCTCTAGTAAACCCTGACATACTACAGAAATGTCAATTGTAACAGACAAATACTTTTATTTTTGTGTGCATTTGTTTTTATGGAAGGGTCTACAAGGTGTTCAGGGTCTCACTACCAGATCGGACTCATAGTGATCTACCTGTCTACAACCTCCCAAGAGCTGGGATTACAGGTGCATCACCACGGCCAGTCTCTAGAGAGGAATACTTCTACGCAACTCCAAAACACCACTTTCTTTTTTTTTTTTTTTTAAACACTACTTTCACTGAACACTCATTCCACAACCTCTGAGCCATGTGATGTAACAGAAGAAACCCACCTCTTTGTCGAAGTTGGCTTTGGTGAACTCCAGTGAGTTCAGGAGTGCATTAGTAGCAGCTAGCTTCACATTATTGCTCGGCTCTTCTTTCCTCATCCCCTGGATTATGGCAGTCAGAATCTCATTGGATTTATCCTGTAGCTGCTCTGGTTCCTAAAACAAGCCGAGAAGTGCAGTGAACATGACAATCAGCTCATGACTAGTCAGCAATCCTCTCACTGCAAAATCCACAGAGCGCCATGACCCTGTGATCTTTCCCACATACATCATCTGGGGACAGCAGTGTCAAGCACCTACACATCTCCCATATGGCTGGCAGTCCCAACCCAACTGCAGCACACTCAGCTCCAACTCCATCTCTGGCCTTGTGGTACTAAGATTCTGGGTACCTTCTGGGTAAAGGAAGAGGGCAGTCTGATGGTTTTCCCAGGCCATCTGTACCAAATAAATGGGCCGCAGGCCAAGGATCAGCACCTAGGCACAGTACTGGAGGTGTTGAGGTCCAGAGCAAGTCAAGTGCTATGGGCTCCAATGCTCTGTGAAGACTGTGTTGAGACAGACATTGAGAGCAACAAACATCCTAGGAGGGACGCATCTGAAAGGCTACGCTGTGACTCCAGGGCCAAAACCAACACAGGATGGGCTGGCAAAACCATGTAGTAAATGAAAAAAGCACACAGCATTCAAGCTACATTTAGAACTCTGGTAAAAGGATCAGGTCAGAGATGTTCTGAATGAGCATATCCTCTCTTTAAAATTTCCTGGTACCGTGGTTACAGCTCAGTGGTAAAGTGCTTGCCTAGGATGCAAGGCCCTAGGTTTGACCCCCTCAAAATTAAACAACTTGATTTTCTTCATGAGTTGATATTCTTTTTTTAAACGTATCTGGTACAGGATCTCACTACACAGCTCAGACTCATTGTGATCCTCCTGTTTCCAGTCTCCCCAGCTGGTCTCGGTTGCTGGCTCAGCATGCCTGGGCAGGGCCAGCACAGCATGTGGTACCAGGATCAAACCCAGGTCCTTATACTTGCCTAAGCAGGGGCTTAGACCACTTAGCTATCTCAGCAGCCATGAGTTGATATCCTAACACTATGCTCATCATGAGAGGAATCAAAAGTGTACAAATCAGATGTACCCCACCAGCACTTACTATATCTTGGCAAATGTAACCAATAGCTTCCAATGTGGATTCTTTCATGTGCTCTGTGCTGTTGGGATTTGTGACATTGGCCACCAGCTGAGGAATGAGTTCTGGCCACTGGTTTACTGGGATCTCTGCACAAGCAATACCAGCCACACACTGCGAGGCAGAACTAGGCCGGTAAGTTTCTGTGCCCAAAGTCTGTAAAACCTGGAAAAAAGACAAGAGTAAAACACGTCAGTACCAAATATTATTGAGTATATTTTGCCTAAAACCAGGTTCCTTATGTCACTGCCTCTGAATTATCTAAAGAAAAAAAGCAATGAAAAACCCAAGCCAGCCAACATATCACCCATACAACCAACCATCCCCAGAACCAAAATCAAAACCAACCATTCCTTCTGTCAATGGGAATTCTCTAAAAGAACATACCTCACTCCCACATTCAACACAACCAAGAAAACCAGCAGTTAGGGGGTAGGGGAGGGGCTGAGATAGCCTGTGGTCTAAGTGCCTACCTGGCAAACACAAGGACCTGGGTGCGATCCCTGGTACCACATGCGATGCCTGCCACCAAAACCAGGCATGGTGGCACACACCTGTAATCCCAGCACTGGGGAGGCTGAGACAGGAGGATCACATGGTTCTGTTCCTAGCACCACTGTGCCAGCTCCACCCCTGGGTGCCCATCCTCCCCACCTGCCCCACTCTCTGAGCTGGCTACAAGAGTCCAGACGTAGTGGCATATGCCTGTAATCCCAGTGCTGGGGAGGCTGAAAACAGGAAGATCACAGTCTGAGCTGCGTAATGAGACCCTGTAACAACCAAATATATATATTTTTTTAAATGAGGGAAGCTCCACAAAATCAGCTTCCAAGCTCCTTGCTGGCCTACATAGGAAGGATGCCTCCACCCCGTTTCAAAGAAGGGTTACAGAGGGGCCTCCGGTGGGTCTGATTCACATGAGGTCACTGCCTATGTCCACAAAGACACATTTTCACTGACAGCTGAAACAAACCTCTCCGGTCACAGATAACCCAGCACGCAGTGACCTGCTCTTCAGAAAGGCCTCCTTAGGCAGGTCTCTCACCATGAAGTCACTAACCCTGCCAGGCCTAAGCTCCTCAGGTCCCTGTTCCCCGCCCGAAGGCTGTGCTCTGTGTGCCCAAGAATCTGAGACCTGCGCTCTCCCAACAGGCCTAGGAACCCTCATCCTCATCTGTTCACGTGCCATGCTCAGCATCAGTCATGTCTGTTTGGCAATGCAGCCACATGGGCACTTACGTAAGGGGTAAAGGGTGGGCTCAGGCAGAGAGGAAGCCACGTGCAAACCACCACGTACAACTTTGGCGTTAATCATTACCACCATCAGCTAATTCAGTCAGTGAATTCACTGCAAGCCACCACAGCTCTCAAACCCAACTGGCCCTGGCAGGACAGGCCGCAAAGAGCTGCCAGGACTCGGCCAGCCTGCTGACTGGGCCAGGCCGCTCAGCTCCTGCTTTGCAGCTATAAGGTAACAGGGAGGCCCTCGCTCTCCCTCCCAAGCAGCAGGTCATCCTCCCCGCCCACCCCACTGCCACAGCTCTACCCAGGACCCATCCCTGTCTTCAGACGGCTTTACTCTCTTCCATCAACAGGAATAGCATGCATATGAACAAAAACTGCATGTCCAAGAGAGGATAGAATGAAGTAAACTGACCAAATGACAGCTCAACAAGTATTTGCCAGTCTGTTTCAAGCTCAAGTCAAGTTTTTTTGGGGGGGAAGGGGCAGCAGGTCTGAAATTATAAAAAATTTTAGAATTTCTTTTTTTTCTTTTTTTTTGGTGGAACCAGGGATTGAACTCAGGCCCTTGCACTTGTTTCATTGAGCCATCTCCCCAGCCTGTTGTTTGTTTTTTTTTAAATGTCTTTAGTACAAGGTCTACAGTCTCACTATGTAGATCGGACACTACAGATCCTCCTGTTTTCAGCCACTCAAGAGCTGGGTTTACAGATGTGCACCACCAGTCTCAATGTGCCCTGGGGGCGGGGCCGGCACAGCACACTGGGCATTAAACTCTGATCCAAGTTTGCTTAAGCAGGCGCTTTAATCCACTGGACTATCTGGCTGGCCCATGAATTTAAAAAAATTTAAATCACAAAAACCACACTGGTATGAGATGCCATGTGATGATCTCTAAAAATAAAACAAAACAAAGAAACAGGGTGCCACACTGTAGCCTTGGCCGGCCTCAAACTCAAGGCAAGCCCCTTGCCTCGGCCACCCGAATGCTGGAATCCATCCCAGGCGTGTGCGGCTGTGGCAGCTCCCGAGTGATGTTCTGATACACGCATACTTTGGGAAAAGTTTAAATCGGCACACACCTATCAATAGCATCTCCTCAAACACTATCATGCTTTGTAATCCAGATATCCACGATCCTGTTTATCAGCTTTTTTGAAATATATAACACGCATACAAATTATCACCCACAGTCCCTCAACGGTGCAGCAGTGCCCAGGTCCTACCCCTCCTGTCCAGCCATAACTTGATACCCACGCATGCATTCTCCCTCTTCCCTCCAGGGTGCCTTGGTCTACATGGTCTGCAGCAGAGCTGTGTAGTGCACTGAATGCCATTCACCCTTCCTTTAAAGTGCTGTAGAAGACTCAGTTAATACCACTGCGGGTGAAGCCAAGTATAGTGGCACACATGGGTGATCCCAGCACTCAGAGGCTGAGGCAGGAGGATCACAATAAGCTGAGGCCAGCCAGGGCTACACGGTGAGACCTTGTCTCAAAAACTCCCAAGAGAGGAGGAGCACTGAGAAACATTAGTTTTCACATGCCTGGGCTGGTCTCTAACTCCTGAGCCCAATCAGCTCCCTGACTCCACTTCCCTGGCACACTGGATGACAGGCACAGATCGCTGCACTTGGCTCATGCTCATTTTTTCTTTTAGCCAAAATGCCTCAATCATACCAATGCATAATATTTTAAAACTTTGGTGTTGGGGGCCTGCCCCTTAGCTCAGTTCTTTAAGTGGCTGCTTCAACAAAGCAGTCAGGCTCAGGTTGCTGTGGTTCAATCCCCACAACACAAGACAGCCAGTCATGCCTTGAAGGCATTCGGCGCAAAAAAAAAAAAAAAAAGCACTTCTGCCATTTTGGGCTGGCGAGGTGGCTCAGTGGTCTAAAGCACCTACTTGGAACAAACTTGGCAAAGCACAGGGACCGCGGTTCAATCCCCCAGCACCACATGCCAGCCAGCCGCGCCCCCTGGTGGGCTGAGCTGGCCACACACACACATACACACACAATAAATAAATAAATGTTTAAAAAAAAAAAAAAACTTTGGTGTTAAAGAGAAATGTGTCAAAGGCCAGGGAGACAGCTCAGCAGCATAAGTGTCTGCCTGGCAAGCACGAGGTTCTGCGCTGATCCCTAGTACAAAAGAGAAATGTGTCAAAAAAAAAAAGGTTCAAATCACATCCATCTCACTGAAGCACTACACAAATAGAAGAATATAGAAACTGAATAGACATATGAGCACCAAGAGTTCCAGTGAGGGCCAGGGACACAGTTCACTGGCCCAGCGTCTGCCTGGCAAGGTCCTAAGTTTGACTGCCCGTTCCACCCCTAAAAAGAAAAAAGAAAGAAGAAGAAAAAAAAAGACCAAGTAAGAACTAAGCATGGTGGCGCACACATGTAATCCCAGCACTCAGGAGGCTGGGAGTTGGAGGGAGTACTGTGAGTTGAGACCAGCCTGAACTAGAAAATGCGTGCAAGGCCAGCCTAAGCTGCACAGTGAAACCCTGTCTCAGAAAGGGGGAAAAAAGGCCAGGGTATCCCTGAAATCCCAACATTCTGAGAGGCTGAGATAGGAGAAGCACAAATTCAAGCCCAGCCTGGGCAACTTAGCATAACTGTGTCTAAAAACACAAAATAAAAAAAGGCTGGATGGGGGGCCAGGGAGATAGCTCAGTGGAATAAGAGTCTGCCTGAGGGCTGGCCAGATAGCTCAGCGGACTAAAGTGTCTGCTTAGGCAAGCACAGGGACCGGGTTTACAGGGATTGGTCTTGATCCTGACATGCAGTACTGGTCCTGCCCCAGGTGCCCACCCTGCCCCTGGGGCTGCTGAGGCTGAGATTGAGACTGGCGTGGTGGTACATGCCTATAATCACAGCACTTGGGAGGCTAAAAACAGGAGGATCACTATGAGTCCGATCTGTGTAGTGAAACCCTGTAGACTCTGTACTAAATACATTAAAAATATTAAAAATTATTATTAT